ATTGTTCTCGACATGAAACTGTGCAGATAATACCAAAAGTTGGGCAAAAAATGAAGCAAACAAAGAAGGTGGTCGAAGCCCGGTACCTACCTCTACCTACCTAGGTACAGTTTTATCCCATCGCCACAGCAGCATTTTCACATTGCAGCCTACCTATCCAACACAGACACATCAACACCATCTCGACAACACCTATCGTCAAGCAGTGCACAATGGCCATCTTTGACTTTCAATCCTTGCCCACGGAACTCGGCGAGCGGATCATCCACTTCGCTATCAGGGCGAGGTCGCTCAACCGTGCCCTCAGATTGAGGCTCGTGAGCAGTAAGTCATGACCGCTCCTCATGAATGGCTTTCATATTGATTTGGTCTTAGGGCAGCTGCGGGAGCTGGTAGATCAAGACATGTTTCGCACGCGCATGCTGGACGAGCACCTCCAGAACGCCTTGAGAAACAAGTACTACGCACTGCCATGGTACGAGTCACGCGACTCTGGACGCATGTTTTACAAGCAGGGGGAGCGGGACATGCATCGGCTGGTCCTCCTCAAGCGCTATCTCGCCTACCGCATCCTCAGCAAGCCGCACCTCAGCCCCGAGTGCCCGGAAACCCTGCTCCGCCGCGCCGCCGCGCGCCTCGCCGAGGAGCTCGGTGAGGGCGGCGAGGACGGCACGCGGAGGCACATGGCCACCATATGCCAGGTGGCGTTCTGGGAGTCCCCGTTCTACAGGCGGTTTGACCTGGAAGGAGAAAGCCCCGACGCCTACATCATCTCTCCCTTCAATCCAGCTTACCATGCCCAAGGGGATGGGCCGCTGAAGGAGATCCTTCTCCATGCGGCCATTCATATGGGCAACGTCAACCTGGCCAAGCGCATGTACGCACTGGAGTCTTGGGACTTGTGTGACGTCGAGGTGGCCAGGAGAATTTACGCCCTGCAAAGTACAGACCCCGAGAGTGTAGCGACGGCAATATCCAAAAGACAGGATGGGCGGCTAGTATGCGCAGCGTCACATGGTGGCCGGGAAGTACTGCAGCTATTCTGTGCGAAGGAGTGGAATTTCACGCTAGCATCACATCCTAGGGGAGAGTTTAGCGACGACTTTCTCATGGTGCACATCGTCAAAGCGCTAGAATATGGCTGCGACACGGACCTCATCCACTACCTGCTCGACGCCGGGGAGTGGGACCTTTCCAGGCTGAGCGCCTGGGCCACCGACGCGTTCCGGGGGGCCATGCTTCGAGCCTCGAGCCCAGACATCTTGGAGCGCCTGGTCCGGCTCGCAGTCCCGGGCTTTTCGCTACTCAACAGCACCCACCACTTTCGCAGGCAAGGCACCCTCTATTCCTGGGCCACGCCTATGGCAGGCCGCCTCGTGTACCACGCCGCCGCCGGCAACGCGGCCATGCTGCAGTACTTGCTCGACCAGCAAGGCGGCGCCGCCGTCATCAACAACCCGGACAGCGCCTCCCTGCCGGCCCACCCCACAACGCCGGAAGCGGCCCGCGACCTGGAGGACGGCCGCTGGCTCAAGCCCCGGGTGCGCTCCGGCGGCAACTCGCGGCGCTACCGCCCCGGCAACCGGCCGCTGCTGGC